CGGGATAAATGCAATAGAGTCAAGCTTCGAGATCTTTGTACAAGTGATCCAAGCGACACAAAAAGGAACTAACGTTTTCTGTGTTAACTTGGTGTTTTATGATTCAGCACAACATATCATACACCAAAGAGTGATAATAAAAGATATAACAGTGATGGCCGGATTTAGATTTAGTAATAAATAATATATATTTAAATTTATTATAGATATTTTAAAGACCTAAATACCAAATAGTTAAAGAATTTAAAGGTAATATTTTAAATAATATAGTAAAATTTTTAAATCTTTTAAAGGAGGCAATTGCCTTCTTGCATTTCCCTAATAATCAGTGGATGTATTCTGATTCAATTTAATATCTTGATCATAAAAACACTTATCTACACGTTTTTTATAATTTTCTGAATTTTAATAAATGTTAAAAAAAATTGATTTGAATGTGTGGGTTAACTCTCAATTTTAAATAATAATTTTTTTATTTTTTTATTTTATATTTTAATAAATATTTAATTAATTTAATTTTATAAATTAAAATATTTAACCTGTATACTAAAAGTATTCCAAATTTATTGTTTTTGATCGCGGAGGGATGATGACCATAAAAGCAACAGTCAGGCTTCCGAGTCATGAGATGGGCCAAGATATAATTATAGGTAGCACAGTGGGCGAGTCAAGCATATGCATAGCTGCACCTTTTGGACCTAATCCCAAGAGAAATTTGTTGCTCAAATGTTGAATTGACTTCAAAAACTATTTGAATTAGGCACGTTTGTGTGACATGTACGGTCCAACTAAATATTTGTCCTAATTAATTTTCTATGCTCCTAGTCAAGGGCTGCTGGTGACCAATTTTTTTTTTTTTTTTTTTTTGGGACCAATTTTTTTTTTTTTTTTTTTTTTTTTTTTTTTTTTTTTTTTCATTTCATTGCTTTTTTACTTTATTTTTTTAAAAGTGGAAATCAGTATTTTAATGTTTAAATAATTATATGTTAAAGATGAAAAAAAAAATTCAATCAAAATAATAATAAAAATATATATTTTTCTTTTCTCTCGCTTTAAATTTTCAAGTTTGTTGGGCTTATGATGGGCCCATATATGACCATGTACAACCATACATTAATATAGAGTATTGGAATTAATAAATATTTCCGATCTAATCAGCACAAGCTTGCTCTCCAACGGACTATATATATATATATATATATATATATAATGGAGCCATTATATATATGGAGCCATCGCGAGCCATTCTGGACTTAATCTCGTTTTGACAGTATTAAATGTTAATTAATACCAATAAAAAGCTAAAATCATGTCTGGCCAATAGCATCTCTTGATACATATATGAAGACTGCACAATGTTCCAGATGGGTAGTACCATATATGGAGCTTGATTTTCATTTACCTTCATCATCATAAGTGCTTTGCCTTTTTCTTCTTTGAATGACAAAGAAAACCAGAGAGACAAGAAGAAAGCTTGCGACTCCAACGCCAACAACAATTCCCACAATAAGACCAGTCCTATCCTTTTTACTAGTTGGAGGCTGCCAGAGAGACAAGAAGAAAGCTTGCTACTCCAATGCCAACAACAATTCCCACAATAAGACCAGTCCTATCCTTTTTACTAGTTGGAGGCTTGTTACTAACAGTTGGTATGAAATCTGCATAAAGGCTCAGAACTCAATAACCTGGTATCGGCTTAGCAAAAATCAATAAAATTCTCTAGTTTTAGTACCTGGGGTAGCAATGATTGCTGAAATAGAAGGTCCATATGTACCCGGAGAAGGAATGCAGCAAGTCCCTTTCCCCGCCCAAAATAAATGGATGTCAAGGTAATTTTCAGACACCTGAGCCTTGTAGCTCCTTTCTACAGCTCGTTTAGAGACTCCACCTGCCTCCTTTCTTATGTCAAAATCCTTTAGCACACGATTGCCCTGGATTAAAATAACTTCGGAACTTCAATTAAAGAAAAGTAAAAATATAATGACTCCACAAGAAAACAAGAGTTGGATTTCTCCATAGCATTGATAATCAGCATCACTAAAAGAGTTTTCAATTTAATTGTGAAAGATAAATCCTTCTGGAAGCAATCATGCAGCAATTTTTCATAGCTATTCTCCACATTCATGTTATTTAAAAGAAATCCCCAGAGCAATACTTAGAATTAATATTAAAAAAAAAAAATTAGAAGTCTATTGCAATATTATCTTCCATTTGGAGGACAACATTAGAAGTCTTAAAAAAATTCATATATAATACACAGACCTGGACATAAACATCAAAAACACGCCGCCCAAGACTCCTCCATGTGTTACCATCCTCAATTACTATTTCTGCAAACTGAAGGTTGATAGTGTAATTGCCATTCTCAAGCCCCAAACCATAGTATCTTAGTGACGAAGCAGAAACCCTTGCCGTTTGGAATAACTCAGGGTCCAAAGTATTTGTGGATTGCGATGATGAGGAAGCAGTATACTGAGGATTTTTGGTTCCGGTAAAATATCCAACATTACTGACACCCCATCGGTTTGTACCAGTAACATAAGATGTTGCAGCACCAAGAGTCTCATTTTCCCCCTCATACAAGATTCCATCGGAAGACGTGATCGGTGGACCACCACTCTTTATTGCAAACTGAGAATCTGTGCACCAGAAGAAAATAGGAACCTGTCAGATTTATCCTCTCACTGTTATATTGGGACATCTTTTTAACCCCATGAAAACAAAACTTTCTTTAGTGATAAACTCATGGTTATACTTTCTTTAGCAAAAACCAGGAGATTAAAAAATTTCATGGTTATCTTTAGTGATAAACTCAAATGGTTATACTTTTCTTTAGCAAGAACCAGGGATTTAAAGGGAAAATTCATGGTTATACTTCTGCCAAATGAAGAATTGGTAAAAGTTTTTACCAGGTTTGAATGACATTATTCTTTAAGTAAATGTAACGTTCCCTTCTTCTGTTCTGTGACCCTCACTACCAAACTTAGTGCGCTATTTCCGAAAAGTAGGAAAAAGGAGAGCATTTTAATTATACTTACAGATTGGAGGTTCTCTATTGCAAGGAAAGTTACGTTGAAGACATTTCAGACCTGATGGCAAACCACTGAAAGCCAAAGATTAATTTGATTAAGTGACTAATAGGAAATTATGACAGAAACTAAGTACCAGTTATTTAAGAACAAAGGTGAACATAAAACCAAAAGAATTACCTGCTATTTGAAAGATCTATTGTGAAGTTGTTTGCAACTAAATTACTGCACAAAAACCACAAAGAATTAAAGATTTCAGTGGAAGTTCTTTCATCAATAACTCCATAGAGAATGAGTCAGAAATATCACTAAGAAAAGTAAAGAACAGAGGAACTAAGAACTTACACTTGTAAATTTTGATCATTAACCCAGGAAGGAAGGCTCCCTGATAAATTATTGTATGAAACATCACTGTAATTATAAATTGTCAAACTGTAATTTATAAATTGTTCCAAAGAAAAAAAAAAGATAAGTATTTTCACCCAATTTCATGAAATACCTTAGTTCCGGAATTTTGAGTCTATGTCAATATTAAACTATCTGGACTTGGACATAGGCAGAAAAACGGATATAAAAGCAATTTAATATTAGTTCACAACCAAAGATAATATAAA